ATAAGCTACACTAACGTGATGTTTAGGTGGTTCATTTAACTATTATATGTGATATACATTTTTGGGGGAGGGTAATGAAAGTGTTCTAAAAATCGACATTAATTTCTTGACGACCTAATAATATGCTCATCGGGTTTCAATTGGCACAAGTATATTTTTATGTCAGGTAGCGTACATGGGATTTAGCTCATGGATAGTAATGCATCTCCAAGCTGAGAAACACTGAATTTCCCAACACCTTGACTGTCAAACAATGAGAAACAGTGGTGTAGGAAGCAGGGGGGTCCAAGGCGAGCTATAGGCCTCTCTCATAATGGTTTTGCCTGTGCAACACATTCCCATGCTTCACTCAGTCAAATATATGCTTAATTTTGACATTTGTATGCCTATTTATTTTTTTGATCCTTACAAACGAACAAATTTGTTCTCCAACATATCTAAAAGTATTAATTCTTACTCAGACTTAACAACCGATATCTACTGTTATTTTTAAGAAAATTAAGATTCTGAACATTACATTGCATGAATTAGCTATTAAGAAATCATTGTTTATACAGTACTGAACAAACCATAAACCTTCATCAATATGCAGAAAACAACATTCCTGACTGAAATAAAAATTTCCTGTGTTAGTTTTCCAGATACATTGGTACAGCAATGTCTTTCATATCTCATCTCAGTTATGTAGCAATCAATATACTGAAAATATTTATGTTCAGTATATTTTCTAATATTTTTCATAACTAAACAAATTTTATTTTCATAAAATCTATTCCCCTAATATAATCCAAATATCACAACACTTATCTGTTTTAATCAATGTCAACATCATGCCTGTGAGATGCACATTTTCTAGTAATTCAACCACTAGCAAAGAAAACTTACCCCCAACAAGCAACTTACTATTTGAATAATTTGTTTGTTCTACAGGTTAGTGCCATACAAATGCTTTATAATTGTTTGTCCCACTGCTTGTTGGAAGATAGTTTTGTGATGTTACTTGTATGAAAGAAACTAAACTATAAAGATTTCAGTATCATATACAGTGTTAAATTTTATGATAATTTATTATTGGCAGTAAGTTGCTACGTTGAGTGGAAATAGTGTGCCAAATGTTTATATTGATGCAAGAGTATTATTTTATGATTGAAACATACTAGTCTGTGAATTGTGTCTAAAGGCAATTTATGGAGTATTTCTTTGTTTTATGTTTTCAAATAATAATAAAAAATGTGAAAAAGGTTTTTACCATAAAAGGAAAATAAAAAGGTTTCGGTATTCCAAACTGCCAAGGCCAGACTGCATCAACATACCAGATTATAACCCCATAAACAACCAATGATGCTATCATCATGCCCATAATGCCACCAAGAGTTAGATTATCTCCTGGTAAAGCAGCCTTCCCTAGGTTAGTCCATGTTGCTCCTTCTTCTGGAATATAAATCAATTTTGTAATTACAGAAATGCAAAAATGCCCAAGCAATCAAACATGTAAAAATTGTCAGTGCACTAAACACAAACAAGGTTGATTTCTTAGCTGCCAGAGACCTGAACTATGTGGTTTGAATTTAATTGTAATAAAGTTTCCTTTTTATAACGTGTCTCTCACTCAATAGTGTACAAATTGCAATCTTCCAGTACTGGTGAGTATTCTGCATTAATTGAAGTAACTGATCATCAGCACACTACTTAAAATACATGAACATAACCAAAATGATTGATTTCAGTTCACAAAATGCTTTAAACAGTCGTTCATATTTATTTGATAATATATTATTTTGTGATTTTTTTTACCCCAGTACCACTTAAACTGGTACTACTAGCCTTAAAAGTGTTACCTTCATGTTTGTTTGTTTTAGTTCAAACATATATAGTTGCTATCTGCACTCTATTCACCACCAGAAATATAGCCTTGAGTTTTAGCATTCTAAGTTTGTAAACTTACGATTGACCTACCTGGGGACACTTACTTTATGAAAACCTCACATTTTCAATACAGAATAATACATTGATATCTGTAATTTCACATTGATTTGTGTGAATGTTATTAACTTAATATGATTTATTTTTTCAAGTTAACTGCAGATGGATTTTTTCCCTTATGTTCTTCCTAATTTATCTATTATATAGTGGTACAAGAATTTCAGATGATAATTACTGCATGCCCACAGAGTTATGTAGATGTGGCAATTTACCAATGATTATTTTTATATTTTGGTTTGATTTATCCATAAGAAAGGATGAAAAATTTGATGACCAATGTCCCCACCCACATGGAATCCTACAGGGGGATACATACATTGTCAAAAGCTCCACCAATGAAAACAGTGCAGCCCCATCAGGGTTTCATGGACAATATATTCAATCACCAGTATGAGACAAAATGTCCACAATACCTATTGTGAATGCCTGATACTAGCACTTGGTTGACCCTAGCTACAGTTGACCAACTGATTGACCCTGGGGGAGCCACATAAGGCCTTTCATCTACAAACATTTTAGGCCAAAGTGGTGTGTTGCAGTGACAGCCACCGCTCAACCACCAGTATCCTCTCCTCCTCTTCTTAAGTTGCCATTCTCTTGGGTTCTTGAATACCATAGAAAGTAAATTGTATACACAGAATCTTCTCTAGGAGGTCCCCTCACTATGTACAGGAATTTACATTGAAAAGTAAATCCAAATACTACTATTAAAATTCTTTATAGAGTAGCAATGATAATGATTGAGATTATACAATGACAACAGTTTTATAATGGTGGATTATGTAATCAGATATACAAAGATCGATTGAAGGTTTAAATAGCCCCTGTTTTTACCATGTATCTTCATTAACCCTTTGACAAATGGCAATGGAAATATCTGTCATGGTCAAAATTAAATGTTAGTGAATATGAAGATTTTCAGCATACTTAATTCTTCTGTTTGGTACAGGGCATCATGAAATGCATTGGGTACAAATGGTTGGTGAGGAATGCTGTCTATCCACAAACACAAATTTTTCCTGATTGAGATATCCATCACCATTTGTCAAATGGTTAATATCAACCACTGTTATATAATTTCTTTACTTAGACATATATTCAGTTCTGTTTTGGTTGCTCAGTGGGTCAGCAGTAAGTTTCAGGACTTAAACTTATAAAATCCAGGATTTGATTCTTTGTAGTGGACACAGCAGATAGTCCAATATGGTTTTGCACTAAAGCAACCAAACAAACATAAACCTGGTTTTGTAATTATTTTTATCATTATTTTGCCTTTGCTGAACTCATGTCTTACTCATGAACTAGTGCTTCTGAATACAAAAAATCTTGTCAGAAATTAGTGAATCTTATAAAATATAACAACAATATTAGAAAATCCAAATAGCTGGAAAATTAAAAACCAGCTTTCTACCTTTCATCTTTTAAGATTTTCTGGGATACTTTACTTGAACACCAAAAAAGTCTCATACTGAGAGTTTGCATTCAATATTTAACTATTTAACACATTTTGGGGCTTGCATAAATAAATTTTCCCATTTCCCTTCATATTTTGGCAGAAAATAGTCATAATTTAATACTTTCTAGGATTTATAAACTGTAACTTTTGTATTTTTGTATTTAAATGCTAAGCTATGTGAACAGTTTAAATTACAAATTCTGGGCCATATCATTAACATAATATATCACATGGAGATTTAGTATCCTCAAATTAATTAATATTTTTAAAAACACAGGTAAAGAAGTGTGGGAATGACTCCTTTGTAATGACTAAGTAACAGCAAGTTAAGTAACACTAATTGTGCTAATGTAACTGCTAGAAAATGTAGAAGACTGTTTAAAAAGATTCACTTTACAGTATACTTAAGTTTTATGAAGAACAACTCTGTTCAAATGATAACCTGATAATTCTTACACTATACTGTCCCTAACCATACCAATGTTTCTTTACAATTTCATGAAATTCCACTGAAGAGTAGTAAAATTGCTTGTAAAGAATTGGTTTTCCCATACTAGAACATATATAATGGTTCATATTAACAGTGTTTTATAGGAATTAAAGTAAAATATAAGGTAAAATAGATGTATTTGTTATTGCTGTTAATTCTTGTTTTTCTTAGGATTTTATATCTTAAAATCATCAAGTTACAGTATTAAAAACATAACTAAAAAATGAAACTAACTAAATGATTCAAATGTAGACATTACTCGCACTGCCCAATGCATTGCCATGTTAGGTAACAAGCAAGAGGCAAGTTTCAGACTCAGAGATGTGTCACCATACTTGCTGCCACCATACGGATCCATTAAATTCTGAGGAACAGAAAAGCTGCACTCCCATAGAATAATTGTGCAGATCACTGAAGCCACAGCTGAAAGAATGAGAGAGAGAAAAAGACAAAATTAAAAAGTTGCAATCAAATAAAATGTTCTATTTGATAATAATGTTATATTTTCTCCCATATATCTTGTGATTAAACATTAACAGTCTTACACAATGTGTAAGATATGCTTTAAGAACAATTTTCAAATCATTGTACACTTGTGGTTTAATACATGAAATATAATTAAACAGGAAGAATAAACAACTCTCAAAAATTTCCATTTCAATGATGTTTAAATTTTCAGAACTGAAAGGAATTTCAAATTGGTACTTACCTTTCAAATACGAAAGCTTTTTTCTGTTGTTTCTTTCATTATGTCAACAGTCATGTGATTCCAACTTTTGAATGTCCTTGATGTAATGCAAAGGAAGCATACACAAACTTTCCCAAACTTCTCCACTCTCCCACCTTCTATGTGACTTATTGCTTATGTATCAGCAGAACATTTGTAAACTCTGCTTTCTTGTCATGAGCTAGATTTCTCTGTTTGCAAACTAAGAGTAATATATTATATCATCATGATTGCAAACAGAGAAATCTAGCTCATGACAAGAAAGCAGAGCTTTACAAATGTTCTGCTGATACATAAGCAATAAGTCACATAGAAGGTGGGAGAGTGGAGAAGTTTGGGAAAGTTTGTGTATGCTTCCTTTGCATTACATCAAGGACATTCAAAAGTTGGAATCACATGACTGTTGACATAATGAAAGAAACAACAGAAACTAAGAGTAATATATTATATCATCATGACTGGGGAGAGGTGAGTGGAAAGTAGGATGGACCTGGAAAGTATTATAAGGAACACTGGTTCCCCAAAAGTAAGTCAGTAATGTAAGAATTTAAATCACAATAAATGAATTAAGTAGCAAAGTAGAGTTTGAGAAGAATATAGAATCAGAGTAAAGGTCAATAGACTGGTGCATGAAAGTATTGTTACGTCTCTGTATGTTTGTTTGCTAATTCTTCTACGATACCACTCCTTTCTTTATAAAACTTGTTTATTCTTCTTCAATACAACTTTGTAATGTACTTAATTTTCACAGTTA